CTTTAAAAAAGTTCAGTTTCCATTTCTCTGTTGCTGTGTTGAAATATGATGGATATTTGCATGTTGACGTTGCCAAAATTAATTTCGAGTACTAGAAACTGTAGATTCCTTGGATTTTATTCTTTCTAATGTGAATGCCTTCTCTTTTTTATTTTTTCATGCCTTATTGTACTGTCCAGGACTTCAAATACAATGTCGAATAGCAATTGGGAGAGGAGAATAGGTGTCCTTTCTTTATTCCTGATGTTAGAGGAGTGGTGCTCAATTTTTCTTCCTTAATGAAATGCATGTTTTTTTGTAGTTACCCTTAGCAGGTTAATGAGGTTTATTTTTAATTCCTACTTTGCTGAGTCCCCACGATCCTGCCAATGGCATTTGGGTTTTGTTAAATGCTTTTTCTATATGTATTGATATGATCACACTAGTTTTTACTCTTTGGTTTGTTATAAGGTGGGTACCATGGATGAACATGGTGACTGGGAATTACCATTGCCTTGCTGGGGTCAGCCTCACTCATGGTATAGTAACCTCTACATCCAATTTTCTAAATTTAGTTGAAAGTTTTTGTGTTTGCATTAATGAAGGGGATAGTCTGGTTTCTATGTGATATCAGAGTAATGTCATTGTCATAAAATGAGGTGGAAAGGTCCCTAGTCATTTGTTTTCTGGAGGAGGCTGGATAAAATTGGTGTTATTTTTCCTTTAAATATTTGGTAGAAATTGCTACCGAAATCACCAGCATCTGTATTTCCTGCTTTATAAGGCCTTTACCCACCCCCCACACCCCCGCTCTCATTTTGAAGCAGGTTGCATGTTGGGCCGGCCTAGAACTCACTATGTTGCCAAGAATGACCTTGTACTCCTGATCCTCCTGCCTCCACATCCTGAGTGCTGGGATTAAAGCCCTGAACTACCATGCCTGGATGCCATGCTGGGGATTGAACCCCAGGCATGCTAGGCAAAGTACCCAACCAGCTGAGTTATGTCCTCAACCCCTGTAAGACTTCTGAGTACAAATTTAAGTTTTAAGATAGATGCATAGCTGTTCAGGTATCCTTTTTTCTTTGGTGAGTTTGGCTTTTCAGGCACAGTACTGTTTTATCCATTAGCTCATGTGTATGCAGAGAGGTGTATGCATATGTATTAGCCTTTACTATCATGGGATCTGTGCTGATTGACTCTTTTTTATTTTATTTTGTTTTCTTTGAGGGCTGGGGATTGAACCTGGGATCTTGTGCATGTTAGCCAGGGTGTTCTACACTGAGCTCTCTCCTCCCCTCCCTCCTTTGTTATGTTGGTCATTTCTGTTTTCTTTTTCCTTTGCTTCTTACTAGAGGTTAATCAGTTTCATTGATAATTTGAAAGGACTAGATTTTAAAGTTGAGTATTGTCTGTTGTTTTTCTCCATTTCACTGATTTCTGCTCTTATCCGTTATTTTGCTTTGGGTTTTCTTTGCTCCTTTTCAGGCTTTTGGGGTGAAGGCCTGGATTGTTGATTTGAGGCCTTTCTTTACTAAAGCATTTGGCAGTATAGATTCCTGCCTCAGCATTGATTTGACTGCATCCAGCCAATTTTAATACATTGTTTTCATTTTTGTTTCATTCACAATGTCTTCTAATTTCCCTTGAGGCTTTCTCTTTGATTCATTGACTGGTTAGAAGTGTGATGCTGTATATCTAAGGATTTGAGACAGGGTCTCCTTGAGCCCTGGCTGACCTAGAACTCTTATGTAGATCAGGCTAGCCTTGAACTTACAGAGGTCTGCCTGCATCTGCCTCCTAAGTGCCGGGATTAAAGACATGCACCAGCACTCCTACCAGTTTTACATTTTGATACAGTTAAATGCATCTACTGTCTTCTCATAGAAACCTATGAGATTGATTTTATTATTCCTGTGTTAGAGATGAAGAAATAGAGGCCCAGAGTCTAATTGAACTGTTGTACCCTTTTATCAACATCTCTCCTTTTCCCATTTATATCCTTTCTCCTCTTTTATGTGACAGCCTATCATATAACGTTAGTCTAGTGTTTTTATTTAACAATGTATCATGGAGTTACATGTGTGCACAAAGTATTCTCTCTTTTTTATGGCTTTGTACTACTCTACTGAGTAGGCATACCATGATTTACTTAACTTTTAGTGATTTAACTTAATCATGGATGATTTGACTTTTAAAACTCTTTCTTTTGAGACAGGTCTTCCTGTACCCCCAGCTGACCTGGAACTCATTATGTAGACCAGGCTTGCCTCAAACTCACAGAGATATGCCTGCTTCTGCCTCCGAGTGGTGGGATTAAAGGCATACTTCTACCCTGGCCAGACTTTAGAAACTTTTTAAAGGAAAATATAAGATACATACTATACACATATGTGAATAGTTTGGTGAATTATATATATATAAAAAAAAAAAACCCACAAAACCCCACGACCATCACCAGTAACAAGAAACAGTATTTTCAGCACCCCAGAGGGCTCCTGATTTGCTGCCCCCAGTGCCACTCAAATTGTCTTCCCCATAGTCAACATCACTCTGGACTGACCTTGAGCCCCTCCTGTCTTTCTGTTACAGTGCTGAGGACAGGGATCTAGTTTATTTTCTTTTTTTTTTTTTTAAATTTTTTAATTTAATAACCACATGATTAGAAGAAACATTTCATTACAGCTTTAACATATTCAGTAACACATTCCATACATCTATTTCAAAA